TTGTTAATGAATCATCCGAAGTTAAAGAAAAACTCAGGATTCCATCAAGTTCGACCGGCGCGCTTCGCTGTGTAGGTTTTTTGTCCTCACTCACAGCAGCAGACTCTCCAGCTGTGTAATAGGACGGCGTAGACTTGCGGTCACTTGTACCGTCCATCAATATGTTTAATGTTCCTTTGCCACTTTGTGCAAACAATGACACAGGCTCGATGTGCGTGAGATCATTGCGCACAAACACTCTTGTGCTTACTTCTTGAACCTTCGAGGGCAGGTAGTAAATAGGCCCGAGTTGTATCTCCTCTCCAGCATAGACCTTGATGATCTTTTTCTGGTAGTAAAATGGAGGCACATCGATCTTTTGTCGACTTTCGTGTCGAGCTGCTGCATATGCGGCCACTGTCTTCCACTCTTCCAAACACATTTCTGGGTCGTCGTACTTCACGCCACTATCAGCTTCTTGGAGTGTGTGCCGCGACTCTTCGCCACAAAAGTAAAAGAGATCGTCGTCGGCTTCTGCAATGGCCAATTCCATCATTATTGAAAAGTTGCTTGGGTTCCGCACATGCACAAAAATGTGATTCATCTCAAAAAGTCCCGTGAGCGGAAATTCCTTGCGTCCAAATACCGTCAGAGATTCATTATTGGGATCCAATGCCATTCCTGAGGGTGCAGTCACCATAGGACGCTGAAGGAGAGCCTTAATGGTGACTTCAGCGACATCATCCATTATATCAGTATGTAGACGGACCTGGGCTTCGCTGGTCAAATGGATCCCGGTTGCCGCTCTTTCGAGCCAAAACGCATCCCGACGGCGTAGAGCATCCAAGTCGTACTTATTCACAAACTCTCCATAGTCCGAAAGCTGATAACATTTGTGTTCTGCAATAGGATCTGCCAACGGAAGCAAACAATCCGCAAAGTACAACATACCTACGCAGGCAGAGTCCTCCCATGGGTAAAAGATCAGATTCAAAACACTTTCAACCGTTCTAGGCGCCATGGTTTCTCTCATTGGCAAGAGCTGAAGCTTTGAACTGCTGACAGTGGCCTTCAATGCCGTCACCAAATGGTCGAAAGTATTACGATACTGTAGTTGAATTCTTTCTATGCGACCAGGGAACATCGCTGGTAAAACAATTACTGGCGTAACCGGTTCAATGGTGCCTCGAACACTCACGAAACGTGCATAGAGATGAAAAACTTCCGACTCTGTTGTCAGCGACATGACTGGAACCGTAATTTCTCCAAATGTATCCTTCGCCTTTATTTTGATATGAAATACTACTCGGTAGCCAGGCTGGAGAACAAAACTATCCCCGGCTGATACAAAATTGATGATGTTGTTCCATTTATCACCTGCTCCAGCGTTATGCGGAAAATGTGAGAATAATTCAGCATTAGATATTTCGGCTGCAATTGACACATCCACCGTCTCATTCTTGGAAACTTTCATTATTGAAAGTGTCAGTGGCACCGGATTTTCATTTGTTACTTCCACCATCTCCATACAAGCCTTATGTGATGCGACCTTATCCAAATCAAACAGCAGCGACCGACATATATGGACAGCGTTCGTATCTGTTAAAGCTTTTTCACCGTCTATGCGAGGTGTCGCTGGCACTACGCCATCTCTTGGCATCAACAAACATTCCCCCGTCGACTCTCGTCGATCAGTGTGTAAATCGATGTAGTAGCCGGAAACGAGGTAACTGTGGAGCCCTCTTGTAGAACTCAAAGTTAAAAAACCATTATACACGTAAATCGGAATTCGATCGAGCGTTCCATTTGTCTCAACCATTAACGAATAGGATCGTGACGTAGCCAGTTTATCTTGGTTTTGAAATGTTGGTGTGATCTGCAGTGATATTGTCGGTAAACTTTCCCCAACAGGAACAATGACCTGCTGGAATTCGTGTACAATCACTTCCTGGAGAATATCGTTATCGGGCAGCACGTCATCCACCCATACTCGTTGTACTTCCACTGGGCAATCAAATCGATTCCACAAACGAAGCGTTCTAACTTGATTAGTACCAACTAGAACTGCCATCGAATTCTTTACACTAGCAATTGACACGAGGTCGGCAGCTAGTGTTTCTTCAACTTTCGCGATTCCCTCAGATTCCTTTTCTTCTATGATATCAGCAGCCTTTTCATCTTCACTGAACACACGTTTGAGGGGCACCACGACCCCCACAAATGTCTGGTTTAGCTGAAAGGCTAAATGGCCTTTCACGACCTGGCCATACAGTCGCAGTTTCCGGTTCCTCAACTCCGAGCTCGATGCATTTGTCTTTAAAAGCAGTGACGCAATGCAGCTACCACCAATGATATCTCTATTGACACGAACTTGCACTACAAGTGTATGATATGCTCGGGTTTGCGCTAAAATAACTGCCGGTCCTCGTAGTTGCGCTGCGACGACCAATTTGCTTTCCAGGACTTTAATCTCCAATATTTCAATCGGAGTCGAACCAGCATTATACAACGAAAAAAACAGCTCACGAGCTTCGTCTTCATACGAATCAGTCAGTACCCCCAGGTCCACCGCCTCCGGCTCAATATGTATTCCAGGTTTCAAAATAGCGATGCGCACAGGCACCAACATCAAGAGTTTATCATTGGTGGCAATGTGAAGATACAATAAATGTACACCAATTGCATGCGATTGCACTGACACTGATATAAGCGGGCTGGTTGTTCCAGCAGGCATGTCCCATGCGCCACGACCAGCTCTCCTAGAATAATCAAACGCTTTATCATATTGTCCAGGAATTTCGCTAGTAAGATACTCCTCTTCATCACCTTCTCTTGGCCATCGTGGACCAAAGATCCAGTCACTATCATTACCTAGTTTTAGATCAACAAAGCTGCTTGATGCATAAATTTCCGAGATTCGAATCATAGAAGTCGACGGATTCGTAAACTCCAGTAATTGTTCAAAGTATTTTCCAGCTGGAATCGATGCACGGACGGCATTTACACCATATCGATTAGGAGCTACCTCGGAGCTACTAATAGGTAATGAAAATAGTCCCGATGTCGTTAAAATTCTCAAATGAGCATTTACTCCATTAAATTCCACTTGACTGGGTAGAAACACAAATTCTACATTGAATCGATCACCTGGATTCAGTCGAATCCCTCGTACATCATTGGCCAGAGAGAATCCTTCATGTGTAAAGTCAGCTCGATCCAATGTCACGGGTACACGTCCATTGTTTTGTACTCCAACATAAGATCTCTCTGGAATGCACGTCTTCATTCGTCCAAGATTAACTCGACTTGGTACGAATTGAATGGCTTGATCATCGACTGGAGTGTCTGGAAGCCCAATATCCGATTGGACAGGTAAACTACGTGTAATAGACAATCGATCACTCCATCGACGTCCAATTCCACGTGACGTGGCAATGCCATTGACGTCAACAATTACGTGATTCTCCACTGGAAGCGGTCGATTCCCTTTGTGACGTTCTAGTGACGCAATAGAAGCTCGTTGAGCTGCAATAAGTGGAGATAATAACAAAAGGGTAAGTAGTAAAGTAGTTAAGGAGTAGAAAAAGCCTCGATTGACGTCATACTGCCGTCTAATCGACGTGCCCGCGCCACCAGAGGAAGTCATGGTTTTGTCCTCGGGTCAACTGAGCATATGCTGTTTCGTAGGTTTTGATACGTGTTCGTTTTGGGGGGGTTGTAAATATTCGAAATGGCTACATTTGTCGCATTGTCGCATGTTTTTAAGCGAGTAGTTCATGCTACGGAGACTGCAGAAGGTTCTTGTATCCATACTATAGTAGAAAGTGGAAGCGTATAATGCACTCTTTTGCGTCAAGAGAACTTGTTTATGCAATTTCAGCTTCATTGGATTAAAACTAACAAGGTAAAAAGCTATAACGTCAAGAAGACGTCACGGTTCTTCTTCTTCTCGTCCAGCTTTTCTAAATTAGCTCAAATTGACGTGTCCTTCGGCGTATCTAAGCGACCTCTTTTCCACTTGCACACGCAGTCGCAAGCAACAGCATCAGCGAACGCAACAAGTGCGTGCGCATCTCTTCTCCGTCGTCCAGCGAGCGATTTGCCGACCAATAATTTACCGGTACTGCCATTTACACAAGACGTAGGCATCAATTTCTTTTGTTTGCATTAGAGCGGCAAGCAGTGGTGTAATAATTTATTTACCTTGACGAAACCAATGTCCGTGGCGCGCTCGCGGAAGCAGCGACGGCACATGTTCAGGTGGTACTTCCGGATCAGACCACGGGTGGTCTTGCACACACGGCAATGACGTGAGTCTTTACCATAAGTGCGAGGGTGAGAGTACGTGAGGTTCGCCATGATTGCAGACTGCAACAAAAAGACAACAACAGCATCAGTCTCTGTGTTCTTAGTATCATATCACTTGATGCTGGCAAGCAGGTCGTTGGGAGTCAAAGGTCAAGTGGAAGTCATGAAAAAGCTTGACCACGTATACGGTGAGACTCCTAGCACTGTTCTGCTGCCCTGCGTTCTTGTCATTGCTGCGTTTGTTTGCTATACAATACTAGTCTCTTCCTCCCGCTGACCTGCTTGCAACTCTGTCTGCCCAAGTACATAGAAAGAGGTTTCTGCTTTTTCTTACCTTCTTCTTGGATAGCTTTGGACAGTAGCAAATGAAGGCGTAAAGCGGCGGCTCGTATTGCTTCGGGAACCACCCATCTCTCGGTGTGATTTTAAGCCAATGACATGGTTTCAAATGACCTATTGTGACGAATCAGCACTGCTTTTGTAATGGTGCCTACTTCAGGTGCACCACGTCATGTTCCGATTGACATTTTTCCCATCTCTTGTTAAAAAGCTCGTATGCTGCATAACCGTTTTGTTGCCTTTTTAAAGACATCATCATCGTAAAAACGCCTGTTTTTTCTTACGTAATTACTCCTTCTTACCTCATCCGCCACGTGTGCAACGTGTGCAAGGCAAAAGGAAAGTCACTGCCAGAGTGACGTTCATTCGAAAGAATGACACTCAAATCCAAGGCCAAGAAGGCGGCCACGTCCTCCTCGGATGATCCGAACCATGAGACGCCTGTAGTATCGCCCACAGTAAAGCAAATTGTCCAAGATCCCACACGTTTCGTGTTTGGTGTCGATCTAGACGACCCACGGGACCCCGAAGACGACATGAATGCACTCACTCCCGTCGCTAAATTTGCAATCCTGGCGATGATTTGTCTCATGTCATTTTCGATCCGTCTCTTTGCCGTCGTGCGCTACGAATCGGTATGTCTACTCTCTCCTCTATAAATGGATATGAAGTATGACAGTTTTTAGAGATATATATCTTATGGTATGGTATCCTGTTTTTTATTATGTATTACAGGTAATTCATGAATTTGACCCCTACTTTAACTTTCGGACGACGAAATACTTGGCTTCCGAAGGGTTTCTCGAGTTCTTGGACTGGTTTGATGATCGTGCATGGTATCCACTTGGTCGTATCATTGGTGGCACCATTTATCCTGGTCTCATGTACACCGCAGCACTGATGTACTGGGTGTTAAATGTATTGAACATCTCTATTAATGTGCGCAACACGTGCGTGTTCTTGGCCCCACTGTTTGCAGCCAATACGGCAATTGCTACCTATTTGCTGACGAAGGAGGTGACCAAGCGCTCAAGTGCAGGACTTCTGGCTGCTGCCTTTGCAGGAATTGTACCGTCCTACATCTCTCGCTCAGTTGGGGGATCATATGACAATGAAGGTGTTGCCATCTTTGCACTGATTTTCGTGTTCTACCTCTGGATCAAAGCGGTGCACACGGGATCCATGTTCTGGTCGGCTGGATGTGCTCTGACGTATTTCTACATGGTGGCGGCGTGGGGTGGCTACGTGTTTATCATCAACATGATTCCCATCTACGTGCTCGTGATGATCTTTGCAGGTCGATACACTCCTCGTATCTATATTGCGTACTCTACGTTCTACACACTGGGTAGCCTCATGGCCATGCAGGTGCCATTCGTGGGATTCAACGTCATTAAGCAGGCTGAGTGCGCTGGCTCGCATGGTGTCTTCGTACTGCTGCAAGTATACTGTTTTGTCAACTGGTTGCGTAACTATATCTCGGCTTCGTCGTTCCGCCGTCTTGTACTGGTGGGTGCCAGTCTTCTCGTGTCGGGCTTCGCGCTTGCTCTGCTGGTGTTGCAGCTCATGGGCAAGGTTCAGTGGACGGGTCGCAGTTTGACTTTGCTGGACCCTACCTACGCGTCCAAGTATATCCCTATAATTGCTTCAGTGAGTGAGCACCAGCCGACGCCGTGGACATCCTACTTCTTTGACTTGCACATTATGGTACCTTTCGCGCCAGTGGGTCTTTACTTTCTTTTCCAGAACCTTACTGATGGCGGCATTTTCGTCATCCTGTACGGTACAGTGGCGTGGTACTTTGCGGGTGTTATGGTGCGTCTCATGCTCACGCTGGCACCCATTGCTTGCATCTTGGGTGCTGTGGGCATTTCGTCGACGCTGCGCAAGTTTATGGGTATTCTGGCTCGTCCGTCGACGTTCGTTGTGCAGAAGGATGGCGTGCAGCCTGTGCCTAAGATCTTAGCTTTGGGTGTTGTGACTGGTCTTCTGTTTATGCTGCTGAGCTACTCTATGCACGCTACATACGTGTCTTCGATGGCGTACTCTTCGCCGAGTATTGTGATTGAGGCTGGTCGTACGCGCACAGGTGAGCATGTTATTTACGATGACTACCGAGAGGCGTACTTCTGGCTTCGCCAAAACACGGATGATAACGCCAAGATCATGTCGTGGTGGGACTACGGTTATCAGATGTCGGCTATGGCTAACCGCACGGTCATCGTGGACAACAATACGTGGAACAACACACACATTGCCACAGTGGGTCGTGCTCTGGCCTCTACAGAGGAGGACGCATACCCGATTCTGCAGAGTCTAGATGTGGACTACGTCTTGGTCATCTTTGGCGGTGTGAGTGGCTACAGCTCAGACGACATTAACAAGTTTCTATGGCCTGTGCGTATCGGTTCTGGCGTGTACCCAAACGACATGCCCTCGGAGCGTGACTTCTACTCAGCCTCGGGCAATTTCGACATCGGTCCGGGCGGCTCAAAGTTTTTGCACAACTGCCTTGCCTACAAGCTGTGCTACTACCGCTTTGGTGAGGTGATGACGGACTACCAGCACCCGGCGGGTTTTGACCGTGCTCGCAACGCGGAGGTGGGTGTCAAGAACATTAAGCTCACGCACATGGAAGAGGCTTTCACGTCGGAGCACTGGATTGTGCGTATCTTTAAGGTGAAGAAGCAGCCTAATGTGGAAGCTACGACTGCTGTCAAGACTTCGCGTTTATCCGAAGCAGTGGCGCAAGAGAAGGATATCTCCGAGGAGAAAACGCGCTTCCTTGGTTGCTTTACAGGAGAGAATATGTTGGGCAACGACCGCGTATACGCCGGTGGCTCCAGCGGGGCCAACTACAACCTTGCGCTGCACCACGCCAAGGACAAGGGCAAGCGCTACTTTGCCATCGCACGTGTGGCGAATGAGGGCCACGCGTTTGCATTCAACAAGCTTCCCGTGAACGAAGCCTCTGCGGACGGCAACGATGAGGGTTGCAAGCGTCCATGCAAGGACTCGAACGCGCACTTTTGTGGTTGTGCTGATGCTGGTTGTACGGATATGAACGTGAGTCCGGGCAAGGGCCAAGAGCACAACCGCCGCTGGGCCATTTACGAGCGCCTGACGAAGTAAACCAACGTTGAAGCACGTGTAGCCTGTCATCAGCGTTAGCTCTTTCCACTGGTTTTGTTTGTTTTCTCTTAGCTGCAGTTGGACAGATGCTGTTGCTATTGGGCGGTCGGTGTCTTGGCGAGAAATGCAACCGATCGATGTGTAAAGCGGGCTAGCAAGTACACAGATAATATAACAAGCATACGCTTTCTCTGTGGAGTCGTGTGAAAAAACGTGACCTGTTGCATCATTGCACACTAGTTGAATAATGGCGCCTAATTTACGCCGGCGAGAATCTCCCTGACAGCTAGACTGCAACTTTTCAACACGGCAAAAGCGCTTTTACTTCTCATGGGTGCGCTGCATTCTTCACTCCATGCATCTATCCAGATGACTTGCTCTCGCCGCTGGCCTGGCGAGCTGCCTCCTTCTCAGCTTCGATCTTATTGCAGAGTTCGTTCACCTTGTCATCCTCAAGTGGCTATGCAACATGAAAGTCCGACACATGGTTCCTCGAGTTAGTCAACAACACCAACAACTGTCTAAGCATGTTTAGTTTGAAAGAGAAGCTGACACACGTACCGAAATCTTGCCGCCCGTTCTCACGACGACAATCTCAATGTTTTTGCTGCCTGATTCAACAACCTCAAGCAGCGCCTTAATAGCCAGAGACACGGCTTCCTCCTCGGTGGCATTCTCGACAAAGTGCTTTTCCAGAAACTCACGAATATTGGTCGAGTTACGGCCTGTAGCATTTGCTTTCCAGGCTGAAAAAGTGCCAGATGGATCTGTCTGGTACAATTGAGGCACTCCCTTATCGTCACAGCCAGCAATAAGCATTGAGATACCAAATGGCCGCACACCGCCACGTTGCGTGTACTTTTGCTGAACACGTGCAACGTAACGCGCCACGTACTCGACAGATGGCGAATCTTCGACCGTGAGACGATAGCTTTGGCACTCGAGTCGTGCCTTGTTCACCAGTACACGAGCATCGGCCGTAAGTCCCGCAAAGGCAATAGAAATATGATCGTCCACTTTACAAATCTTGCGAACTGTACGTGGATCCTGAAGCTTGGCCGTCTCCTTGCGCTCAACAGCCAAGACGACCGAATTCTTGCCACGTACACCAACAACCACAGCACCCTAATACAATATACGTAAAGTTAGTACTATACATCACGTATACTCTCGAGCGTGTATACATTATTTTTTAGTATACACTTGCTTTCTTTACGGCTTCCATGGCATATTCAACCTGAAACAAATGTCCATCAGGAGAAAAGACAGTGATTGCACGGTCGTATCTTGAGGGTTTGAGAGAGAGAGAAAAAGACAAGAGTATACAATGGAGAAGATTAGTGTATACATGACAGACGTATACTACATAAGTATGTGGTAATGGAGAGACAGGATCAAGCGTGTTTCTTGTGCTTCTATCACTCACCTCGACATGATTCGTCTTGTTGATATTATGAACTCAAGGATCTAAGGGGGAATGCTTGATTTCTAAATGGAGCGTGTCAATTTCTAAATGGTGCGTGTCCCTCTTAGAAATAATCTGATGTGACAAACATACATATATATCTTTTTAACCAATCGAAGACTGTATTGTTATTGCCATGCATCACGAGCTCTTCTTGGCGCTGTTGGGACATACGGGCGACGTCGTGGAACGTCGTTCTGACGGTTTCTTTGTGCGGAAAGACGCATCATTTTTGTCACAAGCACAGAGTTGTGTAGTGAATCGCTTGTTACGATTGGGCTTTTCGTTTTCGAGATTGGATCAGTTTGTACGACAGGCGCCACAATGCCCCAGTGTGTATCTCCATGCATTGGCACAAGCAGTGGAACGGCTGCTGTATCGTTATACTGACTCAGTGGTGGAGCTAGAGGCCAAGACACTTAGATCCAGTGCCGTTTTTCCCATGTCGAACTTCATGTTTGAGCTTGAGGAGTTTGTGGAAGTGCTGCCGGAGGTCTGTAAACTTATGGAGAGAGTTATAGAGATAGGAAAAGAGAAACAAGAGGAGCAAGAAGGATCGAGTATCAAAGGAGCAAAGCTGCTGGATATTGTGCATCGAAGCACGAACTCTGGTTTCCCAAGAGTGCAGAAAGTGATGCAAGAATTACTCTACTTCTGCCATCGGTGAGGAAACTGCGAGCTTGCAGTGGTTTTTGTGTTTTATTCTTATAGTTTTCGTTGTAAATGAGTTGCAGAGTTTTGTTTAAGCAGATCATAGCGTGGATGGTATATGGGGAGATTGTGGATCCGCACAAGGAGTTTTTCATCAAGAAAAAGGTGAATGTAATGACTACTAAGTCGACTGCTGTGACAGAGAAGGCGTTGTTGGCTGAGGATAAAAATGCAACGGCACAACTATGGCATCAGCAATTTGCAATTGACTTGGAGGCTGTGCCTCTCGATTACTTTCCGACATCTTTGGCAGAGAGTGTGTTTATGATCGGCAAAGCCGTGCATATCTTGACACGAGCAAATCTGTTTTCCGCACGCGAGGTGCAGAATATCACTAAAGTCATGTCGGAGATAGCACGATGTCCTGTGTTTGATGTTGTGGTAGTCGAACATGAGGTGGAAAAGGTGCGCCATCGCGTAGCCAGTAGACTGCATGAAGAAGTGGTGGTAAAATCCGACTTTGTTGGATATCTGCGCGTCCTGAAAGGGTTCTTTCTGCTGTCTCGTGGAGAGATATTTCAGACGTTTATCGAGCGTAGTTTTGGAATGATGCTGGTCAAGCCGACAATGAAATCGGAAGAGGATGTGAATCATGTCGTCTGGCAGGAAATTGTGCATGACTTAGTACCAGAGGATGAACCCTGGGGTCGGGACTTTGACATGCAGGTTCGTCGAACACAAGTTGGTGATCTTGTTGTCAAGTGACTTACTTATTTGCAATTTCTTATGTAGCTCCCGCTTCAAACGTTTGGATTTGTAGGTTTCTCGGCGAGTGATGGTCTCGTTCTTTTCAATGTATTACGAGGACAAAACGGCAAGTTTTTAGCAACGAGCTCGGACACTGTAACGAATCACGCACAACGAGAACCCATAGCGGAAGAAAGCAGCACTGTGTGGTGGCGTCATGCACAGATGGATGGCACTTCTTTTTCATCTGAGTTTTCTTTGCAATGGGAGCAAAACTCATTTTGTTCCGGAAGCCATCGTGCAGCGTTTTTGCTCCAGAATGAAAGCACATTAGACTCGGCTACGTTAGTCAATGGATCATTTGAGCTTGACGATTTGCATGCTTTCTATGTGAGCGTCGATCTTGCTATCGAACACTTACCAGGCGACACGAAAGGGATACGTGTGATGGCTCAAGTGAAACCTTCATGCGCAGGTGAGAGCGGCATCCAATCTTCCCCAGTTATGAAAGTTTCCATGGCTGATAGCAGTACGCCAGTGCTCCGCGTTCGTGTGCAATATGCCCGTCAAGAAGTTACACTGCCCTCGTCGAAGCAGGTTATGTACAAGAAAATGATGGCCGTGATCGTCAATGATGTGCTGATACTTGAGACACAAATTGACCTTCAGCAAGTATTAATGTTGCAATCTACTGTCGGTGAATACTTTATCGGGCTTGCATTTTCCTCACTCGTACGTCTTACGAGTTGGAGTTTGGATAAATACTCGGCCAAGACTTGTTGGCGGGAAGGCAATAGTGCTGATCTGAAGGAGAAGAATCGTGCACTGGCACCACGTGAATTGTGGAGTGCTCTTCGTTTGTGTTGTACTGTGCGATGGCCGTTACAATTGCTCATCACACCTGACCTATTGCGCTCATACGGACACTTGTTCCAGTTCTGTTTTCGGCTGAAACGTGTAGCGCACGCTCTCGAGCTCGCGTGGAAGAGTAGCCCGTTACGATCGAAGCACACTACTGGAAAATGTGCAGCAGTGGCTGCCGGTGCACTACGTATCCGCATGAGCTTCGTAGTGCGGACACTGGAGCTGTATTTTCAAGTGTTCGTGATTGAAAGCAAATTCCAGACGTGCGTCGAACACATTGAATCTGCAAGCGACTTTGATCGCGCCAAACGCGTGCACGAGACTTTTGTGGCGAGCGTCGTCAAGTGTTGCTATGTGCACAGCAAGACCGTGGCGTCAGCACTTGATGACATGCTGGGCTGCTGCTGGGAATTTGCCGAGTACGTATTGTACCTGAACACTATGGAAGACACTGTCAACGAGTTCTCTGCAGATCACATTGCGTTGCTGAGCCAGGACTTTTACCGCCGCTTTGAGTTCCTGTATAGCGTGTTGTATGTCTCGGAAGCGCGCGATTTGCTCTTTCTCCTCGACAGTAATGGGTTTTTCACAGCAGAACGACAACGCAAGAAACAGCAATAACTACTAGCAACTAAACGAAAGTCCAAGCACGCTACAATCATTGCAGTCCCATGCCATTGGGAGTTTCTGAAGCCATTTTTCCTAATGTCTCGTCTATTTGCATCATAGTCGTCCATTTTTTGTATCAAATTTGTAATTTACAAACATGCCCTGGTGTAGCGCCTGATTCAGTTAAGTTGCCAGATAGTTAGTTAAGTAGCCTCCCAACATGGCTACATTTTGGTGGTTTTTTCCATGTCTGTATTCCAACCTTGACAACTTCAAACTGGCTCGTCTGTCGAGCGTGGAATAGATGCTTCAGTTTCGAATTTGCACCGTCTTCGCATCATTATTCTCAATCCATTCTATACTAAGAACTCAATAGGCTCGTTGGAAGCTTCTATTTTTTCCATAATCATTAGTGTAGTAGCTCAATATTTCAATTTTATTGCAAGTGCACAATCAGTTCATTAACAAGTCGTGCAGTTTTGGCTTCTTCTTCTTCTTACGTCCTCATGGCGGACGCCACGCCAAAATCAGAGCATTTTCATGGACATGGAGAGGACTATTCCCAAGATTTTTGTGAGGGTGCAAGAAGACATGACGGAAAGAAGAGACGATGGATAAGTGATTACTGCACGAGACGATTAAGAGTGAAAACGACTGAGCAAGTTGAGGCTGAAGAAGTGAGTCGAGGAAGTAGTAGTTCAAGGCTCAAGACTCAGGATCAAATTGTCACCGCTCGACGATTAAAGCAGCAGATTGCACATTACTCAACCATGCGTGTGCATATGAAGCGCGTGCAATTATGTCTTGAACAGGAGAAACGCAACAAGTTTTACAAGGAATTGGTGGTCTATTTGTGCTTCTTGGCAGTCGTCATGGCGACATTATTGACATTGCCAGTTCACTTTCCATACGAGCAGAATTCAGTCTTGGATAATACTTACTTTCGTGAACAGTTTCCAGATGAAACGTATCCGAAAAACTTTTATGATGTTGGCAATGAGGGTGAAATGTGGCAGTGGATCAATGGACCGATGCTTTATCAGATCTATGACTCTCCTAGACGCAATAACCGCCCGATTGGCAGTATCCAGATGCGAACAGGTCGAGTGAAAGGCACGCTTTGCAGTCAGACTTCTGGACGAAGTGGCTTCGTTATGTTTTCGGATGCAATTTGTTATCCCGAGTATTCGACGAGAGACGAAAGAAAGGATGCGTACGGCAATAATAGTGGCGTGCTCGATGCACAATATCACTGGACCAACGGACTGAGTAAGCTGCTACGCTCTGAAACGTTTAAACCAGGTCTTGTGAGCCGCGAGATGGACTATGGACACGGTGGGTACGTAGTTTATCTACCGCGTGACAATCATACTGCAGCCACCGCATTAGTCAAGCAGCTACAAAGCGACTTTATTCAAGATGATACGCGGTACATGGTATCAACCTTTGCGTTTTATAATGCACCCAGCAACATCTTTTCACATGTGCAGGGACTATTTGAGATGAGCAACACCGATTACATGGAAGTCACAGCACGAATCAAAAGTTTTCGCATTCTGGCAAGCTACAAGGACACTGGTGACTTTTTGGATGCTAATTCTCTCGTGATTGTTTTGATGATTGCTACGCTCTTGCTCGCTACTCGTGAAATCTCAGATTTGCGCACCTATGGGCTGCGCAAGTATGTACAATCTCTTTGGAATGTTTTGGATATGGTCCAACTCGTGCTGCTCGTTGTGTTTCTTACGATCTGGGTGCTTTTTATCGTAGAAGCAGAAAACATTCGTGACGATCTTTATCGTGTTGGTGACATGGATTGTTCCGGTCCGGCGGAAGACCAGGAAACAGCACGAACGTGCTTTATCGATATCGAGCAATTAGCATGGCTATCTCGTTCAGTGACAAACTACGCAGCAGTTCTTGGACTGGTGTCCGTAGCCATTGTGTTCAAGTACTTGCGATTGAACTCGCGCTTGAATCTGCTTTGGCGCACTCTTCGCTTTGCAGCCAAGGATCTTCTCGCGTTCGTGATTATTTTCTTTACTATTTTCTTTGGTTTTGCAGTCATGGGCTTCCTGACATTCGGCAGAGCTGTACAGCAGTACCATTCACTGTCGGTGTCGCTGACGAGCTGTTTCCAAATGCTGTTGGGTGCATTTGATTACGAAGAGATTTACACTGCTAACCCGACCATGGCCGCAATCTTCTTCTTCAGCTTCATGATCTCTATCTACCTCATTTGTGTTAATATGTTCATCGCTATCATGAGTGAGTACTATTCGGTAGCCCAGAATGAAAAGAAGACTCTCGAAGAGAACAAGCGCAATATTGCAGATAGTAAAGACGATGATTTTCGCGATTCACTTCAGCTTTTGGACGTCGAGTATGACTTAGTCAAGCAGATTAAGAATTACATCTATGGTCTGCGCGTACGAGTAAAGATGCCCCCAGTTGTAAACGCTAACACGGTGTGCAACACCCAGCAGCTCGTGTTATGCGGTTTCCAGCGGGTTTTACTCGTAGACTATGACTATCTCATGGCTGAACGGAAGCGGCTACGTCGAAAATTCCGTGCCTGTGTACACCTGGTCATGTGTTGTGGTGACTTGATGCGCCAGAACGATCCGGATTTCGTGATGCAAGTGGAGCTAGATTTTATTGGCGAGAGCGCGCGTCCTCGAGCGGATTCTGCTGACTCATCCGCTGCTGATCTTGTCGAGTTTCCCGTGACTTACGTTCCCATTTCATCATCGCTGGCTAACACTGTTGAGATTCTCAAGCGGTTGAAGCAAGGAATGTTTGTCAAGATCGATGATGGCTCGCTTACGAACGATCAGATCACGCTGGAGGTACTCGGAGATCAGGACAAGTACGTTCCGTCGCGCTTTATACGCCAGCAGCAGGCTGTAAAGCAGAATGATGAATACTATGAGAGCAATGACGGATTTCATGTGCGCATCAGTGAAGGCGCTAACACTACCGAAATATGTGGAAGCAATCACAACCATGAGTTTGGTTTGCGGCATAACCACCCGAAGATCGGTGGAGCGGATCACATTCGGGCGTGTCGTGTGCTCTACAATGGCAATGCTCTGCTTGACGGCAACGAAATGTGCATCATGCCTCGTTCGACATGGTTTCGCTACTTTGCTGAATACGTTGGATGGGGCTACGTCAAGCGGCATCTGACATGCAAGCGGAAGAAGAAGAAAATCCGCCGCCTCGTGACAGATGCTGAAGTTGATCGGCTTATCAAGGAGAGTTATGCTGCACCTGGGCGCGACATCTCGTGCAGATTCGACGAGCTTGTGCGCAACTTCCGCATGTTTATTGCTAAGAAGGTGCACAAACGTCACCTTCGTATCCCGAATCTTGAAGACCGCATCTTTCAGGAGGTAATCACATTTCTCGAGCGATTTCCATCAGCACTAACTCCTTTGGACAAACGCGAATTGGAAGGCTACAAGTACACGCCTCAACCATTGGATACCCGTCGTATTCGGTTGCCCCACTCTATTAATCTGCTGGCAGAGTTGTTATCGCAAAATGCACACGAAGTTTGGGCCGTGGGGCGAATCAATCAAGGTTGGCGCTGGGGCACTGGACGCGACAACGACACAAAGCTTCATCCTGACCTTGTCCCATATGAATCTCTTACGGAGCAGGACAAGCAGTACGATCGTGACACATCCATGTCGGCACTTAAAGTCATTACGGCGCTAGGTTATGTGCTGGAGCCTCCATCTAGCAATGCAGAGCAGTTTGACGGATTCGAGTTCGGCACCGCCGCGACTGAACCTGGAGGCACTTACGTGCCGAAACCAATCCCGACTGATGATGTGAAAGTCCCCCCGCATCTTCGTTCAGTGATTGAGCTTCTTGCTGAAAACACACACGAAGTGTGGGCACAGATGCGCATGGAGCAAGGCTGGAAGTTTGGTCCGCGACGTGATGATGCGAAGAGGGAACACAATGGTCTCGTCCCGTACATTTACCTCAATCAGGACGAGAAGCAAATGGACCGCAACACCGCCATGCAGACAGTAAAGCTCATTTTGCGTCTCGGGTTCAATTTCACGCACAAGGATCAACGAGCTCGCAGTGGGAAGAAGAAACAATCGGTCCATACTAAGATGGTTGGCCGCAACGAAAAGTCGGAAGTGCGTCACGTCAAAGAGGCAGTTACGTTGGCACGTGGTGCCACCCGTGCTAAACGTGCCTTCATGGGTCGCAACGGCCCTTTTTCCAGCCTCCGTTCGTCCTCCGCTGCAAGTCTCTTCTCGTTCTACTCATCTGGATCGGAGACGACACCACAAGAATCGCAACAATGTAGAGCTGCTGTGGCTCATGAACGGCTAATTGCAACAGCTTCGTCATCTACAGTGACAGTCGAATCCGCAGGCGACATCACGATGCTGATCTCTTCGGTTCAGTCTGTAAGCTCCACAGCGGAGTCCTTTAACTCACCAAAAAATGGCGATGGTTTCAACAGCTAGAGCAGTAGAAAGCTAGATGAATTTCATGACACGTACAATATACCTTTCGGCTCATTCCAATAGAACATAACTTCTTCCTTTGATTAGAACAGGAAGAACCGCTGCGCCAGTGGAACCGATAACGCTGGGCCGCAGGTCAGTCGTTTTCCGTCGGCGTGCACTTTGTATGTCTCTGGGTCGACCTTAATCTTTGGCAACGCGTCGTTCAACTTCATGTCTTTCTTCGTAATGCCTCGGCAATGACGGACCGGTTCAATGCGCTTCTTCAATCCATACGACTGCGCAATTTTCTTGTCCATGCAGCTCTGACTGACAAAAGCAATCGAGCCCATGCCAACAGCAGCACCAAGAGCACCGAACATGGGGCGCATCTTCACGGGTTGGGGCGTCGGAATGGATGCGTTTGGGTCACCCATCTGAGCGTACGCAATAGCACCACCTTTAATTACAAGTTCGGGCTTGCTGCCGAAGAAGCACGGCTTCCACAAGCAAAGATCAGCTAGCTTGTTCACCTCCACGGATCCAATAAGGTGTGACATTCCATGGGCTATAGCGGGGTTTATCGTGTACTTGGCAACGTAGCGCCGAACACGGAAGTTGTCACGCTTGTGATCCGATGCTGCGTCCTCAGGAAGAAGACCAAGCTGCTTCTTCATCTTGTCAGCAGTTTGCCACGTGCGCGTAATTACTTCACCGACGCGTCCCATTGCCTGCGAGTCCGATGAGATGATACTGATTGCTCCCATATCATGCAATAAGTCTTCAGCAGCGATGGTCTCACCACGGATACGCGATTCAGCAAAGGCCACATCTTCTGCAATGTTTGCGTCCAAGTGATGGCACACCATCAGCATATCCACGTGCTCATCAATTGTGTTACGAGTGTACGGACGAGTCGGGTTTGTCGACGACGGAAGCACATTTGGCTCACCACACACGGTCACGATGTCCGGAGCGTGGCCTCCGCCAGCTCCTTCACTGTGGTACGTATGAATTGTTCGGCCCTTGAATGCCTTGATAGTGTGCTCTACGCAACATGACTCGTTCAACGTGTCGGTGTGGATTGTCACTTGAACATCGTTCTCCTCCGCGACACGGAGGCAGTTATCGATAGCCGCAGGAGTAGTCCCATAGTCTTCATGAAGCTTCATACCAACAGCACCTGCATCAATTGTATCTTGGAGACCTTTGGGAAGCGCAGTGTTGCCCTTGCTTGTCAGACCAATGTTCATCGGTATTGTGTCTGTCGCCTGTAGCATCAGCTTCATATGGCTCGGACCAGGAGTACATGTTGTAGCTTTTGTACCTGTTGCTGGACCAGTACCTCCACCGACGAGCGTAGTTAAGCCACTTGCAAGTGCTTCGGTGCACAGCTGTGGGCAAATAAAATGCACGTGAGCGTCAATGCCTCCTGCAGTTAGAATCAAGCCTTCTCCTGCGATCACTTCCGTGTTCACGCCCACAATTAGATTTGGCATTACACTGTCCATCACATCCGGGTTGCCTCCCTTGCCAATGCCTGCAATCAACCCATCCTTGATGCCAACGTCGGCCTTGTAGATGCCCGAGTAGTCCACAATCAACGCGTTGGTGATGATCGTGTCCACCACTTGAGCTGACGTCTTTCCAGATGCTTGACCCATACCTTCACGCAGCGTCTTACCACCACCAAATTTACATTCATCTCCATACACTGTCATATCTTTTTCCACCGCCACGAATAGTTCCGTATCACCAAGACGTACAGCATCTCCCGTGGTAGGACCATACGTCTGCGCGTACACACTCTTGGGCATCTTGCAGATTCCGAACTCAGGTTGAGTCACATGACTGGGCAGCTTGGTGAGATCCAATTTCTTGTGGTGAAAACCCTCAGTAAGTGCCTTCGCAACAAAAGTGTCCACCTTTGACTCGTCCACCATTCCGGTCGCAAGGTTATTACCACCAGTAATCACCTTGTTCCCGGCAATAGGAACAACTGAAACCGTCTTCTGATCTCCCGGTTCAAACCGTATCGCAGTGCCCGATGCAATGTTGAGGCGGTGGCCATAGGCGAGTTTTCGGTCCATTTCCAAGTACGGATTGGCCTCAATGAGATGATAGTGACTTCCAACTTGAATCGGTCGATCAGACAAGTTGGTAATCTGCAGCACGCGTGTTTTTCGACCCAGGTTGAGTACAATGTCCGCGTCTTGAGTAATGAAAGCTCCTGGAGCTACCGTTGACGTGGTAGCAGACAGCTGACCAAAGACCTCCAGCTTCGGCACAGGCAGGAAAGACCCATAGAGAGCCATCGATAAATCTCCATCCAAATTGGCAATGGGATTATGAACCGTCACAAGCTTCGTTCCGTCCGGAAACGTGCCTTCCACTTGCACATTATCCAGAATGGAGGCCACACCGTCCATCACTTGACGTCTGCACCACTCTAATACAATTAGTAACATGTAATCTTATCTGAGCTTGACGTAAGTCTTAATTGTACAGTACCTGCCAAGCATTTGTGCACCAAGGGTCATCAGTTCCGCTACCGTCTTGCCATCTCGAATCAATTCCAGGATTTGTGTGGCTAACAAAGCGACACTTTCAATGTAATTGAGACGAAGACCTCGTGCCAAACGCTTTTGAGCCAAATAACCGGCCGTATGCAGCATCAAATGGTCAACTTCACGTGGACTCAACCGCATTTGTGATACAATACAAACTCACTTGGGTATTACGGTGCAAAAACTCAAATGAGCCCTTTTTGTAGTAACAGCGTTCTTGAAGTGATGCACTGCGCGTCACGACTCTTGATCCAATCAGATGCTTGAAAATAGGTTCTGGACGAATTTTGTACAGCACGATTGACGTTACGCGCCATGTTACTCAAAACGATCAGCATAAAAAGGTCAATCGTCTAGACCCTCTTGTTGTCTCATTGTCTCATTTTCAAGCCAAAGTATCCATGAGTTTGTTTGAAACCTTTGTTTTAAAGGGGTTCAAGTCCTTGCAATACTCGAAAGCTCGCTATTGCTGACAATACTGTATCAATAAAATTTAGACTCACCCCGTGGGGATGTCGTTACACCATTCATGCAGGTCGGAACTTACCCAACAAGTCATAAAACCAGGTCAAAACACAAAGTCATGACAAAAATTCTCAACTTTCGTCTCATGAACCTTTGTATTCACAGGTGGCTCAGGTAGATAGTCGATATGGCTATTTATGTACCTATTAATTAAGTATAGACTACCGGTATGACTACCGGTACGACAAAACTCTTTTGAGAATTAATACATCATTGCAGAAAAACGAATTTGCTAAAAAGAGACGTGTTCTAAAAAAAAACTCGAGGAGTTCAAAGCACAATCGCTTGTTAAGATACTGAACACTCTCAAATCGACGTGATTTGAGTTCGGCATGAAGAATGTTTTTGAGAGTTGCTAGAAATGAGGCCTGTGGGAATAGACGACAGGCCGTAAATTTTTACAAGCCAGTCGCCTCGTTGTCGATCATGTTGTCGACTTGCACTGATCTTGTCGGGAGAAGATCAGTGCAAGTCGACAGCATGATCGACAACGAGGCTGCTGATTCTGCTGGTACCGAAGTAAGAGCCAGAATTTATCATTGTTAGCGACCTACGTAAAGTGTCGGTGAACGTGACTCTGTTATGAACTAGAGGGTCTGTAAAAATGAACTTATGACTCCTATAGAATACTTTTTCTTTAGCTTTGCGAACGCAGTTGGAATTGAATCACCTGTGAAAGCTCGTACTGTGTCAACAGGTCGATCCAAAGGTTTCGTAAAGATATCGGTTGGGGCTGAATTGTCTGTCACGAGATGGGTTCCTAGAGTAAATGCTGATCTATTAAAGAAAAAAAGATGTATGTAAAGAAGAGCTGCCAGCACGTGTAGATGAAGTTGCATGGAGATACCTTTTATGAGTCTCTTGTTAGAATAAAGTTGGTGCTAGGACCGAGCATGTTTTCAGAAGCCTTTGTAAACTGCACTCTACAAAGACACATTGGCTACGGGCGCTTCTTGACCCCCCCCCCCCCATCAAACAAGCTTGATATGGTTAAGATCGGCAAGACAGAGGAGCCTGAATCATCATATGTGGGGTGGTTGGTGTCGGATCGGGGTATCTCTGGTGCAAAAAGCCCCTCGACGCGACCTTCCGTACTACTTCCTCTAGTGGGACGCAGTGTTGAGTGGAGAAGTCCAGCACACTTGACTAGAGCCCTAACGGATTGTCCCTACGATTCGGTGGAAATTCCAAACTTGAGCACAAACGTCGACTTTGCGTCGCACGTAACTGATAGTGATTGAGGTAGAGGCGACGGTTAAATGTGAGTGGAGACGAAGCGAGAAATCTGCCATTCCACCCGTTAAGCACTCGCGCAAGCTCCTTTCCAGATACTCTATAAGTTGTGTGGCTGGTGCCAAGTCTTCCACACTTTCCGACCTGCATCCAGTCAATATCTCCGTCACATATTTCCAACCGCTTCGTTCGGTACAACCGGTCAGCCATGACCTTACGTCAACAAGGCGTACTTTGCTTCATCGTCTGCTTGGTCGGAATTGCAGTCGTTAGTGTTGCAGCACAGGACAGCGGGGACAGCTCCATTCCAAGAGTTGTTTCAGCACTTCAGACCGGAGAGGAGTCTTACTACACGAAAAGCAGTACTAGCGGCTTGAGCAACGAGGAGGACGCTGACGAGACTGCCGCGTACATTGCCCGAGGATATGCGTCTACGATGGATGAGAATGAACAACGTCTGACCATCATAAATGACGCCCTGTTAATGGAAAGCGTTTGCGATGGCAATCCAGTGGTAATACTTAAGTCCACGACAGTCCCCGCCAATGGTGCGTGCTTGCCCGCACAAAGTCGGTATAACCTATCGTGCTCGTGCCTATCGGGCTTTGCGAACAAAACGTTGTGGGAGTTCCATGTTCGTGCTCCCGACGGAGACGCTATATCCCCGTTCCCCACGACATTTAGCGATAGAAACATCGTTCAAGTGAACTCGTTGATGCTGCTCGACGTTCCTTCCGACTTACTCATCCTGTACGTTTAAATCACCCCATGCTGTTCGAATAGCCGACTCACGTGATTTTGCTGCGCAGCAAAATACAAGGAGAGAGCAGTGATTTAGTTCCTGTGCACCTAGAGAAAGCGACAACTGGAGATGATAGCTTGGCCCTTGTTCGCTCGCAGGAGGTGTCAGCCCTCACGAAAGTGTACGTTCCCCAGCCTAATGTTTCGTTTCGTCGAGTCCTGTTGAGCTAACTTATAAATCTGTGGCAGTGATTTATACAACCTGGACCTTGTTGATGTGCCAATTGAAGTTGGTTTCGTCCCCGCGACGGTGTCAAATCTGTAAGCAAGCATACACTTTGATCAATGTCATTTTTCATTAGCCTAACCTGCTTGTGCTGGTACCTAGATTGATACGACGTTGTAATCTCAACAGCATCGGACAACTTTTTCTTGAAAGTCTCACAGCCCTCGAGTCATTGTACGTCAGCTAATTACAAACGGACTGTTCATTCTTGCTGACAATAGTTGTGTGTTGATGCTTTGCTTCGCAGGAATCTAGCGTCTAACAAGATATCCAGCATCTACACTAGACTGCCAGGATCCGTTGAGGCCTTGAACGCGATGACTGAAATGTGAGTACGTCTGTTTCAAGCTACTTCCATTCATATACTGACTCGTGCGTTCGATGTTTATGGAGCAGAAATCTGGCAAACAACAGCTTTACGGAGTTTCCTCGTCATCTACTTCAGTTTCCAAACCTTCAAAAGATGTACGTACTGGAGCACTTGTCATCAACACAATTTTGGCTCACTTTGACGTCTTGAACGTGTCAGCGATCTGAGCGGCAATGCTATCACAAACTTGACAGTCACAAGCGACGAGTTTGCAATCATTTCACAGCTATTAGTCTTTCGAATCGATGTACAAGGGAATTTCAATGGCAGTGGAAGTGACTGTGAACGTGAGGAAGTACACAGCACAGTTTTTTGCGTTTCCAATAGTACACGCAGCCTTTCAGCCTCGGAGATGGCGCTAGCTCAAAAAAGCGCCGATAACGCAACCAACTGGACAGCGTTCATGCTGGTAGCAGCGTTTGGTGGATGTATTGTGGGGTTCCTGCTGTTCTTTCTTGCTATAAGATTGGCACGATACCAACAAGAGCATCAAATTAAGCCAGGCTCAGCTTCGCCTAATGCCGTAGACATTCAAACACCAGGCGCAATGGAGACCACTGCTTCACAGGCGGTCTACAACACACTTCACCCGACATTACACGCAGGAATACTCGACGATCCACTGATCATGTCATTTCGACTAAATTACAAGGACGTGGAAGTTGGTCGCTGCATCAGCAAAGGAGGTTTTGGGCTTGTGTACACTGGTACGTACAAGCGCCGTCGCGTGGCCATCAAGAAAATCATGCGCGAGAAGTGCGAGAAGCTCTCACAAATCCGCATGTTTGTGCGCGAGATCACGCTCATGGGATCACTCAAGCACGAACGTATTGTAGAGTTTATCGGCGTTGCGTGGGACTCGCTGCGCAACTTGAGTGCTGTAACGGAGTATATGGAACGTGGAGATTTGCGAGATGTACTGCACACTCTGAAACACGAAGGAAGTGAAATTGACGATGGGCTAACGTGGCACGGCCTCAAGCTCACCATTGCGCTTCATATTGCAGAGGGCCTTGCATACATGCATTCGCTCAATCCCAAGGTAATTCACCGCGATCTCAAGTCCAAAAACGTGCTACTTAACGACGAGTTTCACGCTAAGCTCAGCGATTTTGGTGTCTCGCGTGAGCGCCCAGTGGCAGATGTCGAAGGCGTTCCTGAGAAATTCATGACCCCGGGTGTTGGCACATCGTTCTGGATTGCTCCAGAGGTATTGCTCGGCAAAGACTATGACGAGCACGCGGATATCTTCTCCTTTGGTGTTGTGCTCTCCGAACTTGACACGGACGACTACCCGTACTGGAATTCCGGAAACATCCCAGGGCAGGGCAACCTCGGCGACAGGCGTTCACAGGAACAAAAGATCCTTGAAAAGGTAGCATTAGGCTCGCTGCGCCCGACGTTTTACAACGATTGTCCTCCCGGTGTGCTTTCATTAGCTGCAAGTTGTCTCGAAGGCAAAGCAGAAAACCGACCCAGTGCCTCAGAGGTTGTACTTGCAATTCAAGAGCTTATTCGCGAAATGCAGTTCGACAATCCCGACTCGGAGCCTGAACCTGATGAGATTGTCACAGCAGGATTCCTCTCCAGCGAATATGAGTAGAACGCTATTGTTTCTCGAACGAAGAGCAATGTGGACGGACGCCCAGATTTATGACTATTTCAAAGTAAAACAAATCGGTTGTGCAATATTTTCTCAAATCAACTTGAAGTGTAGAGCTCCCACAGATAAAGTCTTCTTGACACCAAAGACTTACGCAGCAATCTTCTGCTTCTTCACTGGAGCTTCACTAGTCTCTTCAGGCTTGGAGGTTGCGTTGACTGTCACACTCTGTTTCTTCAATTCACTTGTAGCCACCGGCTTCATTATATAGACGGGTACTGAAGATGATCCTCCTTCACTACGCGCGAACGCGCCCGTGTCTTCCTCCAAGTACGCTCTAGAAACAGCAAAACTCACACACTTGATCAACTTTGATTTTTTTC